TGATATAAGGCTAGTAGCTGCTTGTCAAGGAAAAATCGAAAGTTATCTAAAAAATAAAATTTGTTTATTAATTCCAGAAAAATCAACTCCAATCATCCTCGCTATATTTTTTTTGTAATCTACACGTAAAAATACGTCAAAATATATAAATTTGAATCACTGTAGAAAAACTTTTTTCGTTTTTTGCGGAAAAATACATTTTTTTCTGAAATTTATCATTTTTCTTCAAAAATTTGATAAAAATTGATCATCAACTCCAATCGCGCTTACATTTTTTCCCTGTATTTTTCACGCAAAAATTGAGTTTTACAGCAAGTATGAACAGTCTGGATTGAATATTGTGTGCGCTAGGGAGAATAAATCATTTTTTTCGAAATTTTTGATTTTTCCTTGACAACGCTATGTAAATTAATCCGAATCAAGTTCGCTATAATTTTCCTGTAATTTTCACGTAAAAATACGTAAGTGTGTCAAATTTGAGCTCTTTATGTCAAAAGATGTGGCCGCTAGGGGGGGGGTACATACTCATTTTTAGGTATTTTTCGTAAAAATTCATGGTTTTTCCTTGACAACGCTATGATAATCAACTCCAATCATGCTCGCTATATTTTTTTTGTAATCTACACATAAAAATACGTTAAAATATATAAATTTAATTTCCTTTAATTAAAATTTTGTTCGTTTTTGGTGGAAAAATACATTTTTTTCCTAAAATTGTCATTTTTTCTTGAAAAACTTGATAAAAAGTTAATCATCAACTCTAATCGTGACCGCTTTTTTTCCCCTGTATTTTTCCCGTAAAAATACATTTGTATACTAAATATGATCTGTCTGGGTTGAATATTGTGTGCGCTAGGGAGAATAAATTATTTTTTTCGAAATTTTTGATTTTTCCTTGACAACGCTATGTAAATTAATCCGAATCAAGTTCGCTATAATTTTCCTGTAATTTTCACGTAAAAATACGTAAGTGTGTCAAATTTGAGCTCTTTATGTCAAAAGATGTGGCCGCTAGGGGGGGGGTACATACTCATTTTTAGGTATTTTTCGTAAAAATTCATGGTTTTTCCTTGACAACGCTATGATAATCAACTCCAATCAAGTTCGCTATAATTTTCCTGTAATCTACACGCGAAAATACATATGTGTACTAATTTTCAGCCCTCCAGATAAATTTATGTGGCCGCTAGGGGGGGGGTACACGATTTCAAAAAAACCGATATTAATAGGGTTCCGAACCGAGTACGGAACCCTAAAAATATTAAAATCGATTAAGATTTGTGTTGTCGGTAGATTTTTGTCCACAGAGGGTCATTTTTTTCCCACTGTGCGGGGTGAGGAGAAAAGGGAAGTATCTCTGCACGCAGTAGCGCATCTATTAAAGAGTCCGTTTCCCGCCTTGATTTAATGTATTATTTTGCAATTATTTATTGGTGTTATATGAATATGATAAAAATTAATAAGCTGTGTGTTGTAAGATGCAACATTTTTAATGCTGACTTTTCTAAATTTATGCGAGGGGCTCTGATCGGTTTTCATTTACAATAAGTTTTACTTTTTACAGTGTTGTAAATTATAATGCTGCAGACACCTAAAGGGGACACAGTCCTAGTTAAATATTTTTATATGAAATAAAGGTTTCATAAATAGAGAAGAAGAAAATAACAGCTCTTGATAACAGCTTGGGCGTCTGTTTTATAGACAGGGTGACAACCTTTCTAGATATCGGCTGAAGATATAGTATTATAGGACAATAGCAGGCAGTCTTTGATGGGCCCTTGGTAGGAATTCTTCTACATGTAGGTTTTCTCGTTTATTTTTATTGTTTTATTTTGATACATTTGTCTAATATATCTAAAATACAATGTACAATTTGAATGCTAATTTTGACATTTGTCTGATGATATCCAAATTATTCTGGAATGGTTGAATCATTATTAAAAGCACAAACTTCTTATATTTTGTTTTGAGATTTTAATATAAGTGATGATGGCTGTTTTGCACTTTCTTTTTTCAGTCATACGAGGTTATGAAAAAAGTTATTAACTTTGAATAATATTTACTTAATAAATGTTCTGAGACAATTATTGCAGACATTTTTTAAAAATGTTTATACTTTTGTACACTGAAAGAAATTTCATAGGAAAAAATAACAAAATGCGTATTACATTTTAATATATTCTTTTAGAATTTAGGGAAAAGTGTACTTTTTATTAAAATTCAATATACTTTATATTAAAGTTCCAACTTAAAATCTTTTTTCAAATATTAATAATTATTGTAGAAAGAACGTAAAAAGATTACCAATATTTGAAAATATTATATTAAATTCTCATAGAGTTGTTGCATTATATGGAATGTAGCGTTCTAATATTTGTAAAACTTTATACGAAAAATTCAGAATGTCGGAAGAAAAGGGAAAAAAAGTGGAAACTCGGACGTTTCCGTTAATTCTCGGGAGGAAGAGGAGTGAGACTAGGAACAACACATTCACACTTACGATACAGGTTAACACACATACTAATGAACACGCACGTTCATTTCGCTTATACATAGACATTACACGATCGCAACGAAACCTACACTTACAATTCTATACGCATAACGATAAATTTCGCTGGGGGTCGGCATATATCGTTTTCTTATATACTAACTACTGAATATTTTTACCACTTGCGAGAAAGAAGTTTACTTATAATAACTTAATAATAAAAAATAGTTTACTAGTGCCAATGGTGTAATTTTATAGAGGTTACGCTGGGTTCATTTTTATTATTAATTGTTTATATAGATTTTTCTTTTTTTTCAGATTAAAAATTATGATTGTTATAAAAATTTTTATTGCAAATAAAAATCAAATAATTGTAAAGATGACATCAAAAAATAATAATTAATAAAAATAATAATAAATTTAATAATTATAAATGTTTTCTGTGGCACTATAAACATTTGAAACACGTGTGTTGACAGTTGATAGGTACGTTCTGCTGGTTAACAACACTTTCGAAAATCGGATCAAGTCGTAGAAGTTCGAGTAGGACACGAAGCCGCAAACAGACAGAACTTCGGTTAAATTCGTAGTCACTCGGGAAAATCCGTGACTTTTAATATAAAGTTTTACAAAATGTGAAATAAGTATACGGATATATGTTATTTTTCTTACTATTTTGTGAAATTATTTATTATAATATTTCGTATTCTGTGAATTCATAAAGAAAATACTAATTTTTAAAATAAATATACTAATTTTTATTTCTTAAAATAATAGTTACTCTTAAATTCATTATATATTTTCATAAAAACTGTAATAGTAATCAGTATAGGTGCACTTTTTCCCTAAATTGTAACATTTATATTAAACTCTAATATGAGTTTAATACTTAGTAGTATGAATTTTCTTTCAGTGTATACTTGTATATACTTTTTTTTAAAAAGATGTAAGAAACTTTTTTTACTCAAAAGTATAACCATGAAATTTGAATCTAAAAACATATTTCACTTTAATACGTGATTAAGAGCAGTTTTCAATGAAAATTAATAATACATTACCAAAGTGTAGAATATTATTTAAGTGTGGTAATTATAGAGGAGACCGGGGATACTTGACGCACTTTAAACTCTTTGTTCTGTAACTCATTCATTTCTGCTTTTTTAAAAAAGTTATTCTATAAAATACTTGTAACATTTCAGCTTTAATTTAAAAAAAAGTTGCAATATATTTAATACTCTTCTTTATATACTACTTAATTTGAAGCTGTTCAAAGCGCGCCAAGCAACCCCGGTCCGGGGTTGCGTGGCGCCGGAGTGAAATTAATTAAATTATATGATTTAAAGTTTAAACAATATAAGACTTAACAAAATAAGTCTTGTACTGTAATTTTACAATAAAATTATTTTCAAAAGTAGAAAATTTCATTTAAATTAAAATCATTTTTTATGAATTCGTAAAATTATCAAAAAATATATTTTTTCTTATATTTATTTATATTTTTTATATTTATATATATTTCTTTTATCAAATGTATTTTTTTTTTTGATAATTACGCTGTGAATATTTAAAAACCCATTAAATTCGGTTAAATTTTTTGAAAAAGATTGTTATTGGTGCTTATTAATGTGTAAATTTCATATAATCAACTTTATTTAATCATTTTATTAATATTTAACAAAAATTTTCAGGTAACCGCGTCACCTAACCCCGAATGTACTTTTGAAATATTTATTAATTTTTTATATATTTATATATAAATATATAAAATATATTATATATATTATATTTTTATATATTTAAAAAAAATTTTTTTTGTTTTTTAATAACAAATGTATACCCAGGAGCGAATTTTTGGTCGGCCCAAAGTTGGTCCATCTTCTCGTGCCATTGGTTGGCCTAACCATACATATGATAACGGTTTACCGTCCTTTGGCGACGGTAGCTGGACCGAAAACTGATCCCAACATCGTCCCGACTTTAAATGCACATGTTGTGCCAACCATAATTTTCGAAGTTTGTCTAACTTTGCAATGAATGGTAGGACCAACTTTATCTGCCATTGGTTGGCCGAACTATACATATGATAACAGTTTACCGTTCTTTGGTGACGATGGTTGGCCCGTCAACTGATCCCAAAATCGGGCCAACTTCAAATAGGGAGTAATAACAACCATTAAAAAATAATTAAAAAATTAAATTATTTATACAATTAATACATTATTATTATCGGAGACACTACATATAACCTATACTTATTATAATTAAACACAATCGCTTACATACATTTTCGAAAATATCTAACGCTCGCTGGAATCGAACCCTTAACCTAACGCACCGAAGTCTTATACGCTAACCATTATGCTACGCTTACTTGGGATTATAAAAAAAATACATTTAAAGGTTGCAACTGAGAAGAACATAAATTTTAGAAACAGCCCAGGTGCGAATTGTCGGTCGGCCCATGGTCGGGCCGACCATGTGCATGGTCGGCCCACCTCGGGCAGCCAGAGGTCGGGCCAACTAGCGAATTGATAACGTCGGCCGACCTATGGTCGACTAAGTCGGGCCAACTATGGGTACCATAGTTGGGCCGACCTTGGCTGCCGACCATCCAACTTGACGGTCGGCAGCCATAGTCGGCCCGACTATGGCTGCCATGGTTGGGCCAACCTTGGCAGCTAAAATTTTGCCGACCATAAACATTAAAATATAAAAATTTGTTATACAAATAACATATATTAGTAATCATTTTAAATTCATTATACATTTATTTTATATACTTAAACACTAAACGCAATCGTAAACATACATATATACAAATTAAAATTTTTAACGCTCGCAGGGATCGAACTCGCAACCTAACGCACCGCAGTCTAATACGCTAACCACTACACTACGCAATGACATATGAGTCACGGAGAAAAATAAATGTTATAAGCTACAGCTTGAAAAAAATTAAAGTTAGTAATTCAAAATAATAAATTAATCACATATAACCTTTTTTCTTTTTAAATTAATCAATTACAAGTAAATTAACAAAAACATTTTACATTTGTCAATGGTAGGAGAGAAATTTACTTTATGATGGTCGGCCCAACTATGGCAGCCAAGGTTGGACCGACCTTGGCTGCCAAGGTCGTACCGACCATTGTCCCCCATGGTCGGCCCAACTATGGCAGCCAAGGTAGGCCCAACTATGGCTGCCAAGGTTGTGCCAACCATTTTCCCCTTAGTCGGCCCAACTGTGGCTGCCATAGTTGGACCGACTATGGGGAAGAATGGTCGGCCCAACTATGGCAGCCACAGTTGGGCCAACCATGGCTGCCAAGGTTGTGCCGACCATTACCCCCATGGTCGGCCCAACTATGGCAGCCATGGTTGGCCCAACTGTGGCTGCCATAGTTGGACCGACCATTACCCCCCCTGGTCGGCCCAACTATGGCAGCCAAGGTTGGCCCAACTATGGCTGCCAAGGTTGTGCCGACCATAATCCCCCATAGTCGGCCCAACTATGGCTGCAATGGTCGGCCCAACTGTGACTGCCGACGTCGGCAGCCATAGTCGGCCCAACTTTGGGTGCAAATATTTACCATGGTCGGCCCAACTCTGGCTGCCGACCGGTCGGCAGCCAGAGTTGGGCCGACCATGGGCCGACGAACCAACTCTGGCGGCCGACCGAAATTCGCACCTGGGATCGTGTTTCTTTTGAGAAAAATAATTCTGTAATCCTTGATATACCGACCATCGATATACTCGGCTGCCAGTCATGCTGACTACATTCCCCGTAGTCGGCCCAACTGCGGTTTTCAAAGTCATGCCGACCATTCTCCCCCTAGTCGGCCCAACTGTGGCTGCCATAGTTTGGCCGACTATGGGGAAGAATGGTCGGCCCAACTATGGCAGCCAAGGTTGGACCGACCTTGGCTGCCAAGGTCGTACCGACCATTGTCCCCCATGGTCGGCCCAACTATGGCAGCCAAGGTTGGCCCAACTATGGCTGCCAAGGTTGTGCCAACCATTTTCCCCTTAGTCGGCCCAACTGTGGCTGCCAAGGTTGTGCCGACCATTACCCCCATGGTCGGCCCAACTATGGCAGCCATGGTTGGCCCAACTGTGGCTGCCATAGTTGGACCGACCATTACCCCCCCTGGTCGGCCCAACTATGGCAGCCAAGGTTGGCCCAACTATGGCTGCCAAGGTTGTGCCGACCATAATCCCCCATAGTCGGCCCAACTATGGCTGCAATGGTCGGCCCAACTGTGACTGCCGACGTCGGCAGCCATAGTCGGCCCAACTTTGGGTGCAAATATTTACCATGGTCGGCCCAACTCTGGCTGCCGACCGGTCGGCAGCCAGAGTTGGGCCGACCATGGGCCGACGAACCAACTCTGGCGGCCGACCGAAATTCGCACCTGGGAGACCAATAAAGAAACGGTAATTATATGTAATTTATAATTTATTTTTAATGTTAAATACATTAATTCACATATAAGTTAACATTTTTAATTTTATTAAAACTCAGAAACATAACTCAAAAACATTTTCGTCGGGCCAACCATCACCCAGAGTTTGGCCAACCAAAAATTGTAAGTCGTTTAATCTAAATTTTTTGAAATTTTGACAACCGTCGGGCCAACCATCACCCAGAGTTTGGCCAAACAAAAAATTTTAAGTCGGTTGTACTATGTTCCCCGAAGTTTTGCCAACCGTCGGCCAACTATCACCCAGAGTTTGGCCAACCAAAAATTGTAAATCAGGCCAACTTTGGTCCAAAGTTGTCCCGATGGTTGGGGAAATCCGCTTTGCATGGTTGCACCCAAAAAAAAGTAATCTTATACTTAGAGGAAAATTCCTCTTCTAATATCCTCTAAATATTTCCTCTTAAAACAAGATTATTCAATTGAAATGTAGAATATTTTTATTCTTCATTTTAATGGAAGAATGACAAAAGGATTCCTTTTGTATTTTCCTCTTTAATTAAGATTTTCCGTTTTAAATTTAGAAGATTTAAAAAAAGGAAACGGAAAAAAATAATGTAATCGTTTGATCCCTTTCCCTGGGTATGATAGTTGTGAAGTTGTTTTTTAACCTTTCAGTTTTAATATTTCTGGTAAAATGTCAACAAAAAGGACAAAAAAATGGATTTGCTTTATTAAAAATACAGAAAATATAGTTAAATTCAAATTAAATGAATATTTTTAACGCTATTTTTAGATTTAAAAAAATTTGGATATTTCTTGTGAAATTTTACTACTCAGGTAAATAGAAATACTATAACCCCATTTTTGAATCTTTCGAATTTTTTAAATCTTTTTATTTACTTTTTTAAAAAAGTTTTAAAACGTTAAATAATTTCATATATGAAATTTTTTTCTGTCCTATAAAAAATGTTAACTTTTAAACATATCATCATGTTTTAAAATTATTTTTGCGCTGAAAATCTCGTTGATCATTACAACTGATTAATGAAAACTTATTTTTTGTATTTTAATTATCAATATAAAATGTTGATAATTAACCAAAAACATGACATTGTTAATGTTATATTAAAAAACAATTTTTATTATTATATTGAAATGAACTATTATAATTTTACTTAATTTTAATTTAAAAATGTATTTTCTGCAAAGATTTTATTATTTGATTGAAATTATAAATATTTTATTGATGGCTTTGACATTAAAAACAATTTTACGAGGTTTGGATGTCGACATTTAATTTAAGAGGAAAATCCTCTTAAATGAAGAATAATAATTTTGATACCAAAATTAAGAGGAAAATATGCATTTATTTTAGAGGAATCCTCTAGATTAAAAATTACTTTTTTTAGGGTGTGGCTTGCAAAGTCGAGCCAACTATGGCCACATGTAACTGCCAAAGTTGGGCAAACTCTGGTAACCGTAACTCCGGATGCCAAAGTTAGGCCAACTTTGGGCCAACCTTCAAACTCTGGCGGCCACCTTAATGTCGCACCTGGGTAGAGCTCAAAACTTAATATATTTGAGCTCTTCTATAAAATTCATTTTTTAAAGAGATATCACAAAAAAATGAAGAGATTAAAAAGTTACTTTGGAGTGCCAAAATCAAATTATAATATAAATACAAAAATTATTAATATTTTATCTTAAATTCTTTACCAGCGGATCTGAAAATGTTTTTACTTTCATTTTTAAAAGAAAATATTCACTTTCTAGCAAACTTAACAGTTTATTTGACAGCTGTCAACTGTAATATATATTTTACAGTTGTTGGACAATGTATCATGTCTTACATATTTCCAATTTCTTTCACATTCCACAAAATCGCTAGTGTTCCAAAAAGTGAAGCACAGATAATATATAGGTACTTTAATGCTGTTTTTTTATTTGTGTTTAAAAATTAGTTCATTTTGTTATTTTTATACAGTTTTAAAAAATTTTAAATAAACCTTATTTATTAATTAACTATATAGTAATGAAGTAATTAATTTATAAACAAACTCATGACATTTTTTCTTATCCTGTTGTAATTTTGGTTATCTTAATACAATTTTTTTATTTGCAATAGGTAAACAATTATCTAACGTTCACTCGACATATATCTTTTTCATTAAATTTTGTCCTAAGCTATTTTTTTGTTAAAGTGTACAATTCACAGAAATAAAACGGAAAGCATTTGCTATCCAGTAATTGATCACGAAATGAATACTCTTGGCCATAAAATGAGAAAAAATATAGAAATTTGTAGTTCCTATGACATAATAAGATTTTCCGAGATGCCGTAAAAAATCTCATCATAAGTACACCATTGTGTCGAAAAGTATCCCCGAGGGGTGTTTCGTAAGCGGAGAGAGAAGTTTCTATTTATAGTATATTCTTTGGAATGAAGGCAGTTGCAAAAAATACGATATATCTTTTTAGTAAAATAAAATTAAGACTAAAAAATGAAATGCCATTAATGATAATGATAAGCAAAATAAAAGTCTTTACATAGGGGAACTTGGTTTGGTTATGTAACGTAAGATTGTATTAATTAACAAATTAAAGCGACTTTAAAAATTTTTTTTTTTACAGATTTACTAATAAATGCCTATAAACTAATTGCAAAAGTTTTATAATAATAATTGACAATCAGTAAAAAATCGAACTTTATAAAAAAGTTTTTTTTTGCACACCAGAATCATCCGAAATTTCATTTTTAGAACATTATTTCCAAGGCCATCAGATGAATATTGGAAGGGGTTATATAAGGATAAAATTTAGTCAGAAAATTAAAATTAGAAAGTTCAAAATTTCGGTAAAAATGAGATGTTACCATCAGCCCCTACCTCTCTTAATTTTTCCTAAACACTATACTGACGTAAGCTCAAAATATCGTTTTTTTAAGGGGACTATGTTAGAAAATTACCTAGATCTTAGGAGTTGTCGGGCGTTTGGATAAGCATTAAGGATTAAAATTTATGTAGGTATATAAGTAAAAGTTATAGGAGGGAAAATGAACAAAGGATGACTTCCTTTAATAAGAAGTAACAATAAATTGTCCCAGCAATAAATGAGAAAGGAAGATTTTTTGAATTAGACAAAGCTCTAGATTTAGTTTGGAATTATTTGAAATATTTGACGTCAATTCATATACAAATTTTTTTTAAATATAAAATTCTTTCTTCCAAACATCAGATTTAGAAAAATTTTATAAATTTTTAAAAATCTGAATTAGAAACATTTTCAAGATTTTACATTAACAAATTTCATAAATTCTTCAGAGAATATAAACTTTAACATAAAATTGTATATTACTTCCGAAAAGAATTTCTAACAGATTTTAATAAAATTCGGTATACCTACGTATTTTGACACGCTAAGTCCAAAAAATTATAGTGAAAATTGGCACTTTAATTATCATGATAAAAACCATTTAAAAAACACCTAAAAATCATGAATTATTGCGTTTTACTCGTAGAAAACGCAAAATTTCAAACCATGTTTCCGACAAAATTTGTAGGTTTCATTAAAATAAACATTTCATGTTCTTTATATTTTTCACCAAAAGTTATTAGTTTTCGAGAAAAACGCAAAAAATTACAAAACCAACGTTGGTTTATGTTCCAGGTGAAGGTAAGCCGAAAGTGCTGCGACGGGTAATGTGTTCTGGTCGTTTGCGGCTTAAAGAAACCTTGGCGAGAGGGAGGGGTCAGATCAAAGTCGGGTGGGATCTGTAGCATCGGTTCTCCTGATGGTCGTATACTCAGTAATTGCCTTATCTTTTATCAAATTGTTTTCCTTGGTAGATTTGTTGTTTAAAGTTGAAGCTTTCATTTGAACCTTATAGAGCAAGATTCTAGCAGTTTGAATTAAAAAAATAAATAGTGATAAATTTGAAAATTTTCCGATTTATAAATAACGCAACATAACATTTTGTTAATCTGTGCGAGTTTCAAAAATAGTTTAGAAAAATAATAATTTCGAATATGTAAGTTACTGTAAAAAAATGCTATTATATTATCTTGACTATATTATATATATTAATTATATATTTATCATTGTTCACCCAGAAAAAAGATTTCTTTAAAACAAAGAAATCGTTTCTTTAAACTCACTTTTTGAATCAAAGATAAAATTACTTTGAATTAAAAATAGTTTTCTTTGCTTTATTTACGAAAAAGAAATTTTAAAGTGTTTTGAATCAAAGAAATTTTTTCTTTGAATGATTTTTTTAACCTAAAGAAAAATTTCTTTGAATCAAAGAAATATTTGTTGCAAACTTAAATACGTTGAGTTGCCACGCCTACGTTTGTGCCTCTTGGCAGCGTGTTCATGGCGTGATAATTATAATCGGATTTATGGTCTAAACAGTTTTGTGTTAATAGCTAAATTTTGTTTTAGACTTTCTTACAGTTAGTGATAATAAAATTGTGAATTTTTCGTGTCTTTGGGATTTACGAGTGATATGTGAAATGTGTAAATAGTGACTCGCAGTGTATTGATTGTTTTTTTCGTGATCAAAATTCTGCCATGAAGTTTTGTTCAGTGTTTTACATGTAACCTCATTTGTAAAAGTCCGTATTAAATTAATTAAATGTCTTTGAAATACCTTTCAAGTATTTCAAAGATATTTAATTGTACGAGTTTCGTACATAAAAATTTGACTGTTGGTCAATTAAATTTCTAACTTATCAGATATGATTAGGTTAATGAAATACTAAATAGGAGACACCTATTTACCATCTTAACTACAATATTAAAATTCAAAAACAAAATTACCATCCTCACTAGATATTTAAAGGTAAGACCACTCAGCGGTGCCATATTCGAAAAATTAAAATGGTCGCTTATTACGACCAAAAAAAAAATTCGTAATTATCGAACCCATATTTTCCCGAGTAACTATTTGTTATCAAATCTAGACGTTTTTAAAAATTATTCCTCTATTTTGGTGCCATTTGAAAGCAAAAAAATATGGTCCAATGGAAATTTTGAATTAAATGAATTTATCAGAGTTGACCACTGAGTTGCCAGCAAGCTAGCGGCGTCCTGCTATCTTGGAAGGGCGTTGAGCAAAAAAATTATTTTTGGTGGCTAAAAATAGCAAAAAATGTCTCGTGTACCATTTTTAATTTTTCGAATATGGCGCCGCTGAGTGGTCTTACCTGATATTTAATTAATTTAATATTTTAAAATTATATTTTAATCAAAATACGAACGTTTATATAATCTCAAAATGAAATAAATATACTTTTCATTTAAAGAAATTTGTGCATTAAAATAAACATTTATTTCTTTGATTCAAATAAAAAATTTCGTAAAATCAAAGAAATATTTCTTTGAGTCAACAAAAATCAAGTAAAGAAGTAATTTCTTTAAATCACAGAAATTTTTTCTTTGACCCTATAACAATGCATAAATTCATTTGATTCAAAGAAGCCAAAATTGGGGTTGGTGCATCCTCTTAAATTACATGCTTATTAATTTTAGTTTTCACTTTTACTCAAACTTCATCTGAAAATTAATAGGGAATCAACATCAGAGGATCAATATGGACATAATCTTCAGATTCTTTTTATCTGTCTGTCTATTACAGATCTATACTTAACTTGAAACCATCGTTTATTGGAATTAATAAGTATTAAGTTCAATCTGAGATGAACCCAACACTGGTTTTTGGGTCAAAAAATTAAAAACCTAGGAATTGTATTCGATTGCACTCAAACTTAATGTAAGGGCGTTTTTAGAGTCTCTAATTAATATTTTGTCCTAAAAATGATAAAATTACAAATCCAAAATATTATATTCAAATATTTTACGATCAAAATATACTTATTGACAAATCAATACCACTTGATAAATTAGCTTTCAGGGGCGAAGGGGATATGGTTTAAAGGATAAAGGTCCGCACATATTATTGCTATTTATGTCTCAATAGTTGTTTAACAGTTAGTTGAAGGAGGCCACATTGAGATTTGACAAGTTCAGTTGTGTGAAAAACATATAATCTCCAATTTTTCACTTTTTCTTTTAGGTGATAGCAGATGATGTTTTCATCCATTTTTGTAATGAAAATTGAATTTAATCTATCTGGCTTGGAGGATTAAAATATGTTATGCAGGTAGTTTCTACTATAGCCAAAAATGAAAAATTGTTACAACCGTACCAGGCCTCCCCTACAAAACTATTTTCTACGTCTCTGATTTAGGCCCTCACAACAAAAGGATATTCAGGATATCCTTGGGACGTCCTGGGGATATCGATTTGTTTTCGGCGGTTTGGATATCCCTGGGATATCTTAGAGATGTCCATGGATATCCAGAGGATATCTTAGGGATATCCGAATCGCCAAAAGCAAATGGATATCCCCAGGACGTCCCAGGGATATCCTGAATATCCTTGTGTTGTGAGGGGGTTGTCTTTTAACAGATAGATAACATTATTAATATTGTAAATCCAAAATATTCGATTAAAAGCAGCTACAGACCAAACCAATTGTTCAAAGAAATTTTTTCATTTTTGCTTCCTCGTGGAGGAAGCTTTGTAGTCCTTTCGTTTATAAATTTTTTAAAAATGGTATAAACAAATTTTCCTCTATATAGAAACATGTTATATGAGATCCTGCTCAATTGTCCGGATGTATGTATGTGTGGATCTTTTTTGTGAACACGATATCTTTAACAGGTTTTAATTTGTAAAATTTAAATTTAAATTAAAAAAATCGGACAAGTGCGAGTTACACTCGCACTGAAATCGAGGGTTCCGTACTCGAAGCGAACTTATTTGGTATAAAAACAAATGTTTAAAAAATATGTGTTGTGTATTAAATAATATATGTGATACAAAAATGAACAATTTAAAAAAAAAAATTTAAGAAAATTGTTCCTCCTTTGGTATAAAAACAAAAAAAAATTTTAAATTTGTTTTGTATTTCAAATAATATAAGTGATACAAAAAGGAACAATTTTGTAAAATTTAAGAAAATTGTTCCTCTTCGTATCACTTATATTATTTGAAATACAAAACAAATTTAAAATTTTTTTTTGTTTTTATACCAAAGGAGGAACAATTTTCTTAAATTTTTTTTTTAAATTGTTCATTTTTGTATCACATATATTATTTAATACACAACACATATTTTTTAAACATTTGTTTTTATACCAAATAAGTTCGCTTCGAGTACGGAACCCTCGATTTCAGTGCGAGTGTAACTCGCACTTGTCCGATTTTTTTCGTTTTTTGCGGAAAAATACATTTTTTTATTAAATTTATCATTTTTCTTCAAAAATTTGATAAAAATTGATCATCAACTCCAATCGCGCTTACATTTTTTCCCTGTATTTTTCACGCAAAAATACAGTTTTACAGCAAATGTGAACAATTTGGGTTGAATATTGTGTGCGCTAGGGAGAATAAATAATTTTTTTCGAAATTTTTGATTTTTCCTTGACAACGCTATGTAAATTGATCGGAATCAAGTTCGCTATATTTTTCCTGTAATTTTCACGTAAAAATACGTAAGTGTACCAAATTTGAGCTCTTTATGTCAAAAGATGTGGCTGCTAGGGGGGGGTACATAGTCATTTTTAGGTATTTTTCGTAAAAATTCATGGTTTTTCCTTGACAACGCTATGATAATCAACTCCAATCATGCTCGCTATATTTTTTTTGTAATCTACACGTAAAAATACGTTAAAATATGTAAATTTAATTTCCTTTAAATAAAATTTTGTTCGTTTTTGGTGGAAAAATACATTTTTTTCCTAAAATTGTCATTTTTCTTGAAAAACTTGATAAAAAGTTAATCATCAACTCTAATCGTGACCGCTTTTTTTCCCCTGTATTTTTACTGTAAAAATACATTTGTATACTAAATATGAACTGTCTGGGTAGAATATTGTGTGCGCTAGGGAGAATAAATCATTTTTTTCCGAAATTTTTGATTTTTCCTTGACAACGCTATGTAAATTGATCGGAATCAAGTTCGCTATATTTTTCCTGTAATTTTCACGTAAAAATACGTAAGTGTACCAAATTTGAGCTCTTTATGTCAAAAGATGTGGCCGCTAGGGGGGGGGGTACATAGTCATTTTTAGGCATTTTTCGTAAAAATTCATGGTTTTTCCTTGACAACGCTATGTTAATCAATTCCAATCAAGTTCGCTATATTTTTCCTGTAATCTACACGCGAAAATACATATGTGTACTAATTTTCAGCCCTTTAGATAAATTTGTGTGGCCGCTAGGGGGGGGGGGTACACGATTTCAAAAAAACCGATATTAATAGGGTTCCGAACCGAGTACGGAACCCTAAAAAGGGTAAAATTTGGTAGGCTTATTTATCACATTAATCTCTCAAAAATGACGAGAAGATTTTTAAAAATACCCCCAAAAAAAAATTTTATCGTCTTTTTTCCAAAAACTTTTTTTTAATTGAAAACATTTTTAAATCGAAAAATTTAAGGCAATATATAATATAATCGTCTTCCTTACGTCAAGATGAATCGATTGATATATATAAAGTATAGATTTGATTGAAATTTAAAGAATTAATGGAAGTTAAAAAATCGAAAATTCATATTTTAGCTAAAAAAATTTGTGTTTTTTTTAAATTTAAGTTAATTAATAAAATAATTGTATTCCTTGCATTGAAACGAATCGATTTGTATATATAAAGTATATATTACCCAAAATTAATTAAAATTTTATTTTATTTTATTAAATAATGTACAAAAAATAAAATTATATATATATATATATATAAAT